TCCTGCTGTCTACTGCATCAAATTCTGGTCTGAAAGAAATCTCTAGCATACTATTCCAAGTGCTGTAACCAATACAAATTGATTCTCCAAGGAAAGTGTATAACTCTCATAAGGGGAGGCAAAACTGACAAACTGGCAAAATGTTTATAGAATGATTACAAATGGATTATAATTACTATAACAATCTGGGAGTGTATGGGACACTTGGAATGCGATAGACTCATGAAATGCTCAAAGACTATTGTATATACTATTCCAAGTGCTGTAACCAATACAAATTGATTCTCCAAGGAAAGTGTATAACTCTCATAAGGGGAGGCAAAACTGACAAACTGGCAAAATGTTTATAGAATGATTACAAATGGATTATAATTACTATAACAATCTGGGAGTGTATGGGACACTTGGAATGCGATAGACTCATGAAATGCTCAAAGACTATTGTATTGTAAGGAATATCTCTCTGGGTTTGCTAGAGATTGTATTTCTGGCTAAACAGGTAAGGTAAGAAATGTTTCCAGCAGGTAAGACATCAGTACTGAAATGATGCAAGAAAGAAATTTTTTGAAGCTTCTTCACTCTCAAGAAACCGAAACTGGTCTGACATGGTTCAAAGGACCTAAGGTTGCATAAAGTTATTCTAGGCCTGTTTCCATGACAGGCAGAGAAAAACATGGCTTGGTTGTGGTTTGTTTGTACAGTAGACGAGCCCTAAATTTCCACTCTTCCCAAAGCCTGAAGGCCAGATGCTTATTTTCCAGTGTAGCCTTTGGACAGAGTTGAGGTGACAACTTAATTGACAAATATCTTGGAAACTGAATAATCATAGTTTCTACTGATGATTGGTACATAAAGAGCTAGTGATCAGCCTGATCCCTCCAAAACTATCTGGGGGAAATCAAAGAGTCCAACAAAAAAGCCTTAATTTGGCAGAAAACAAAACAAAATAACAAAAAATCTCTGTGGCTGTAGGGGGAAATAAATATTTCAATTTGAAAGGCCACTGATTAAAGGGTGATAAACATTGTTTAACAATAAGATTTTATTTAGACAATGAATTTTTTAACATTAAAAGCAAATTTAAAAATTTCTTTCCAACTTTTTATTTTTCAGTCATAAATAGCTAAGCTGGATATCTTGTGTTTCTCTCTCACACAAAATATTAATACATTTTATACAGATTTTTTTTCTCCATGATAAATAAATGAATTGGGTTTAAAATGGTCATAGGTCTTGACAAAAGTTTAGGGTCTTATCAATATCCTTCTATGAGAACACGTCAAGCTCACATACAAAATTGCAACCATTGTGACTCTTAGAAACAGTGACCCTTCACAAGACAAGAAGGCAGATATATTTTGACCAGGCTATGCATGTCTATCACTCTAGAACATAAGAACATAAGAACGGCCGTACTGGGTCAGACCAAAGGTCCTTCTAGCCCAGTATCCTGTCTGCCGACAGTGGCCAGCACCAGGTGCCCCAGAGAGGGTGGACGGAAGACAATGATCAAGCGATTTGTCTCCTGCCATCTCTCTCCAGCCTCTGACAAACAGAGCCAAGGACACCATTTTATCCCCTGGCTAATAGCCTTTTATGTACCTAACCTCCATGAAATTATCTAGCTTCTCTTTAAACTCTATTATAGTCCTAGCCTTCACAGCCTCCTCTGGCAGTCAATAGTCATTTTAGATCATTTTAAAATCTCACCCTTCAGCTCTTAAACTCAGATTTAGGCACTTAACTTTAAGATTCTTATTTTAAAAATTTACTCTATGAATATGAAAAGTTCACAATACATTTGCTTAACCCATTGAAAATTTCCCATACCTTTTTATTATTGAAAAGGAGGCAGTGTGGTACATAAGTGACACGGTTTATGCCACTAGGAAGTATTTAATAGAAATACAACTTTAGCCACTGATGCATCAAACATTTATGCCCATGCCTAACTTTAAGCACATGAGTAGTCCCACTGAAGTGAATAGCTTTAGCTGCATGAATAATGTCACTTGATTAGGTGTTTGTGAGATCAGGGCCTTAATGGTGGTGGTTTTCTGTGCTGCTCATAGCATTTTTGTAAGGTTCAGATTCCCTTCTAGCAGTGGCATTGTAAAAAACAGGATTTATAAATGAGTTCAGGAAACATTTAATCTAAAGTTACAATTGCCTACAATTCAAGTGATTGAAATGATAATTTATCAGCCTGATTGAAATCTCTCCACCTTGCTGCCATGGAGTTGCCTTAGGCAACACTTAGGCTGTGTCTAGACTGGCCAGTTTTTCCGGAAAATCAGCCGCTTTTCTAGAAAAACTTGCCAGCTGTCTACACTGGCCGCTTGAATTTCCGCAAAAGCACTGACTTCCTACTGTAAGAAATCAGTGCTGTTTACCGAAATACTATGCTGCTCCCATTCGGGCAAAAGTTTTGTGCAAAAGGGCAAGTGTAGACAGCTCAGATTTGTTTTCCACAAAAAAGCCTCAAGCGCGAAAATGGCGATCGGGGATTTTTTGCGGAAAAGCGCGTCTAGATTGGCACAGACGCTTTTCTGTAAAAAGGGCTTTTGCAGAAAAGTGTCCATGCCAATCTTGATGCTCTTTTCCGAAAATGCTTTTCATGGAAAACTTTTCCATTAAAAGCATTTCCGGAAAATCATGCCTGTCTAGATGTAGCCTTAGAGTAAAAGTGGTGTCTTCTAGCAGCCACAGTACTGTAATGCTGTGCTAGTGAAATATATGCTTTAGAATAATAGCACAAAGACAAGTGAGGTAAGGCTCAAGAAAGCACACAGGGAAAGGAGCTGTGCTTATTAGACTAAGATTGAGGGGCAAACATCCTGCTTTCCATGGAAATCTTGCTTATCTGAATTCTGACTGGATCACAGGGTTATTTGTAACAATAATTTTCACTTATGGCTCTTTTTATCGAAGCATCTCACTGAACTTAGCCTCACAATATCACTAGAGTTAAGGTTTATTGTCCCAGTTTTGCAGACAAAGAAACTGAGGCACAGACGTTAAATGGCTTTGGTCATGCAGAAGGTGAGTAAAATCAGAATCTCCATTCTCCCGGACTTATGTATTCTCAACTTTTATGTCATAAAATACTCAAGGAACACAGGTTTTATATTTTTATTGGGTTTTTTACTCCAAGAAATACAATTACATACAATAAAATAAAACTCAATTATTTAAATTTAAATAAATTAGCCAAACTAGTTGAGGTAGTAAAAGGCACAGCTGGGGTCAATACAAATGAGTTAGCAAGAAAGGATGTGAAAAGCCACCTCTGGCATACAGTTGAGGCAAAGAAAGTGAAGTATATGAAGTAGCTTGTGCTCTTATAGGAACCAGTCTGAATTCTTTGAACCTGGATTCCACTCTGGTTTTCTTTATAATCTATAGAAGGGGGAAACTTTTGCAATAGTTTACATTTGCTTGTCCACCTCTTATTTCTAAATATAAGCAACTGACAAGGCAGAACCAGGATAAGAGAAACTAGTTTATGCAATCACACAAGGCATATAATTGTGGATAACACTGCAAAAAGAAATACAAGGAAACCTTGAAATGGATATGTATACAAAACATTAGTAAAACAGAATGAAAAGAGAGGGAAACAAAGTAGAAGTTAAATGGAAGCAAGAATAAAATGTGGACTTACAGTACATTTTCTGTCTGGATCTGTGCTTTTTAACCAAAATGAAAATGCTTGGTTCAAACAATGATAAAGCTTATAATATTCCCCAAGAGATTTTATCTTTTGGGCCACTACTGCATCCAGATGTACCAGGAAATCATGTATACAGATCTGAGGAAGTGGGTCTGCCCCATGAAAGCTCATCATCTAATAAACCATCTTGTTAGTCTTTAAAGTGCTACATTGTCCTGCATTTTGCTTCAGCTACCCCAGACTAACACGGCTACATTTCTATCACTAGTTCTTCCAAGCATTCACTACGAAGCAGAAAAAAAGTTGCAATTTTTTGTGACTTTTTAAAAAAATATAGGGCTCTTTCCCCAAAACGGGTGGCCAACCATTTTAACCAATTTGAAAATGATACTTATGTACAGATTCCACATCAATCCCTTTATCAGAGAAAGTCTGAATACTCCTGAATTGCTGTTCCTATTACATACCTGTATGAGTCCAAACAGCATCATTTAAAGCCACAGGTTTCTACAGTTAACATTTTCTGTAAAAATCCTCCCTCTAGCCAGCATGTCCTGGTAGGGCAATGGTCCCCAACCTTTTGGGGCTGCCTGGCGCCCGGGGCTGTGCAGGTGCTAGGCGTCCGAGGCACAAGAATGACTCAGGCTGGCCCTGATCAATAGGTGGGCACACATAAATGCCCCGGCGGGCACCATGGCGCCCGTGGGCACCATATTGGAGACCACTGCGGTAGGGAGTGCTAACTACCTGCAGCTTGGATTTGAGAATAAGCAGATCCTAAGTATGATGTACACCAACCTCGTAGTGAGAATAAGGCAGTTCCCCCAGAAGAAAAACTTTAACAAGACAATGAATGCGGCTGGATACCAGGTGAAAGCTTCTTTCCTGCTCTACAGTGGCAGTCTCCTTATTTTCTAGGGGCCTGGGTAAACCACAGAAGAGTGATGTTTCCAGACTGCCACGGAGGAAGCAACTTCTGGAGACTTTGCACCTGATTAGCACATTCCTTTCCCTTGCTTTCAAATGAAAAGGCCAAAGCAACCATGCTAAGGAGAGGACTCACTCACAGGGGGCTTTCTGCTCTGGCTGGAGCAGAGTCTAGGGAGTTGCCCGGACTCTCTCGAAGAGGCTTCCCTGTAGTCAAGATTTTTTTTTACCATAGAAAAACTCCTGTGGCTAGTCTCCGGGACGAGTCCTGTACGCGGAGGCAAGCTCCCCTGTAGAGCCAGGCTCTCTGGTCTTGCGTCCTCACAGCCCCTCTCCATACAGGGCCTTGTGCCGCAGATGCTCCTCCAGGCACTGGATTGCGCTGTCATCGACACTGGGGTCAAACTTGTTGGCGAGCAGGTGATGGGTCTGCAGCATCCAGTGGAGGTCCCCCACCCCGTACACACAGACGGCGCGCCGGTGGGCCCCCGTGCAGGGCGGGTAGGGTGCCCCCCTGCTGACATCCCCCTCCAGGTATTCCCACTTCACCAGTCTGGCCACGGCGTTGACATCGGACACCTCATACTTGTCGTTGTAGGGGACGGAGCCCGGCATGCCCGGCATGCGGTGCAGGGTGGCCCACACGTGCTCGTCGGGCAGCTGCTGCGCCGCGGGGTTTTCAAAGAGGGCTCGCACAAAGCCCCTGGTGACCACCACGTAGGCGCTGCCCGTGAACATGGGGGCGCCGTGGGGCGGGGGGCCCTTCTCCCTGTCGGTGCGCACCACCGAGTCCCCCACGCGGTGGCTGTATTTCCAGCGCGCCCTCTTGACGGACGAGGGTTTCTCCGACTCCATGTTATTTTTCCCGTTGAGAAACTTGAGGGTCCGCACGATCTCGGCGTTGGTCTTGAGGGGGAAGTCGGTGCCGCAGGTGTTGAGGAGGTAGCGCCAGGGCACGGGGCTCCGGAGCAGCTCCTCCATGCAGTTCAGGTCCGCCTGCACCCTGGCCCAGGACGCGTACACCACTCGCTCCGTCCTGCTGGCCAAAAAGACGTTGTGGAAGCAGGAGGCGATGCGCCGCACGGCCTCCCTGAACTCGTCGGGGGACTTGAGGTCCACGTGGACGCAGTAGATGTTCTGGGGCGCGTAGATGGAGCGCAGCAGCCTCTCGAACATCTCGACCTTGTCGTGCACCACCATGGAGTAGGCGATCGGGAAATCCTCCTCCTCCTGGCTCAGGGGGGACCCGAGAAACCTCCGCCCGGCTTTGAAGAGCGCGCAGTCCTGAGTCAGGTTCAGGTAATCCCGGGGGCCGAGCGGCTCTGGCCGGCGTGTCTTCTCCAGCCTGCTCAAAAGAACCGCCTGCACCGCCTCCGCGTCCCCCCTGACGATCCGGGAGCAGTTGATCTGGCCCCTGGGGGGCAGCTTGAGCGCCCGGTAGAGCTGGTCCTTGCAGCGCTGGCTTTTGAGATGCAGCGCGTCTTTGCCCAGGTCGCTGAAGCTGCATTCCCAGGAGGAATATTTCAGCACCAGCGTGGCAAACAGCATCAGAAAGCCCAGGAGCAGCAGGCGCTGGATGGGACACGGACCCCGAAGCATCTTGGGGGAACAAAGGGGAATCTTCGCAACTGACTGGAAGTGTCTTCTCAGCGAAGCATCCGCTCCCTGAGTCACCCCGCTCCTGGCGGCAGGGCCTGGGGGCCGCTCTGGGCGAGTGTCCCCCGGGAGCAGGTGAGTGAGCCGCGGTCCCTGCCCTTGTCTTCCTTTTGTGAAGTGTTACCTGAGCTCCGTAAGGAGGCGGGACAGCGGCTTAGTCACCAGGTTGGGTCTCCCCCCACCCCCACCCCCACCCCTGGGTGTGGAAATGCTGAGCACGGAGGCCAAAGTGCAAAAGATGAAGCGTCAAGCGGAAATGTCGAACCCTTCCTCCCACTGCCCTTGCCTGGCTTGCCCCGGAGAGCGTGGGTTGCCGTGTCCGTGCGCTGCACAGCGAGAGGAGATACAGCCTCCACGCCCGGGCTCTCAGCACTGCGAAGAGCCTCCCAGGCTGGACCAGAGCATCAAAGGGGTCCGCTTCTCTCGTGTCTCCTTCAGGAGTCGCCCCCGGATTCTCCCTCATTCCGTTTCCTAGGCTATTGCCTTGCTTAGAATAACGCAAGAACTCCTCCCCCCACAAGTAGGTTGGACATCAGGAGAAACTTCCTAATATTCGGGGGGGGTTGAACACTGGAATAAGTTGCCTAGGGAGGTTGTGGAATCTCCAGCTCTTTAGATAGTTAAGAGTATGTCAGGGATGATGCTTGGTCCTGCCCTGAGGGCAGGGGCCTGGATTTGATGACCTCTTGAGGTGCCTTCCAGTTCTAGGGTCCTGGGATTCTCCCGCTGCCTCTCTGGCACCCTTCCTCTTTGCCCGCTCTACTTTCCCTCTCTCCCTGCAACTTTCAGAGAGCGCCCTCAACTTCTCAGGCCTCTTGTCTTCCCACCTTCCTCTCTCCCGGCTTGGTCTGAGTGATGAGCGATGAGCGAAGTTGTTCTCTTACAAAGCGTGTTTGCACCTTCTGAGCTTTCTGACAATACATTACGTTAATATCCATCAGCATTCTAACTCGCGGGAGCCAAAACCTCCCATAACACGGGGTACCAGATAAACTACAGCGCAGGTTGTCGATATCACTTCACACACTGAACTTGCCACAGAACAACAATCTCTCAGCAGTAAGATAATGATCAAACTAGGAAGAACAAACATTTTTCTGGACATCTGTTTCGCTTGAGATCTGACTTCGTACCTGACACGAGAAAGGCTAGCACAGGTGTCAAACCAGGCTGGCTCTTCATACAGAAAATGATTTACAGAAATGCCACAACGGTAGCTCACATTCTAACCATGTACAGAATGACTTCTGGTGCCTCTAAGCGCTTCCCTTCGTTAACCTGGGCTGCTCCCTCCAGTTCCAAGCAGGCTCCTATATCATTCCTCGTAAGAATTATGTCTTTTGAGAAGGCTTCTGCTGAGTAAATCGAAAGAACGCGCCGGTTTTGTCGACAGCGGGAAACCTCGTGTACGAGGAAGAACCCCCTTTTCGACAGATCTGTCAAAAAACCGTGTGTGTGGACGCGGGGAGCCTGTTCTTTAAAAACAAAAGGGCCTCCAGGAAGAAGCCCTGGCGGACAGTTGGTCCTTACCATGCTGAGCAGCTCTATTGTTTGTCTTCAGCCTCTTAAAGGCACAGGCACCCAAACAGGCATTGCTTTACGGAAGCCAGCCGTGCTAGCCACGTCCCATCCTCAAGGCCCCCCTGGCCCTTCTCGGGACAGTGAAGAGGACCCACCCAGAGACTCCAAAAGGCGGGCACTAGCCTGGCCAGGGCCTGAAATAAAAAAATCTCCTGGAGCTCTGGTCTCAGGAGGAACCCCTGCAGGCCCTGCAGTTGTGCCACAGGAACGCAAACATATATAAGCACATGGCCCAGGGACTGGCCAAGAAAGGGCATCACCCCCACATCATGGACCAAGTGAGGGCCAAGGTAAAAGAACTGCGGCACCTGTGGCAGAGGTATGCAAAGGCCTGAGACCAGAGCTCCCGCTCCAGGGCAGCCCCACAGAGCTGCCCATATTATGCAGATCTGGAGCAGATGCTGGGTGGTGGGGAAGCCCAGACCCCGCTGCGCGTTGTGGAGACCGGGTTACCCCACCATACTGTGGACCAAGCCCTGAGGGAGGACAAGCAGGAAGGAGGGACAGGAGATTTGCACCAGGAGGAGGAGGAAGAGACAGTAGCGACCCTAGCCTAGAGCCGGTCCTCCAGACCCCATAGGCCTCCCAAGCGTCCTCGGACATGAGGGAGGGAACATCAGGTGAGTACTTTGAGGGGTCACCACACAGGGGTGGATTGGCAGTGCAGGGGGGACATCTTGTCCCATTGCCACTGTGGGGCCCCTGTGATGCTCAGGCTGCTGCCCAACTCACACACGATGTCACGTGTAAAACTTCTGAGTCTCCTGACGGCATGCCCTCGGGAACAGCAGGTGCACACATACGTGATTGTGTCCTCCTCTTTTCCTCCACAGCCGGACCCCCCCCCCCACGCAAGAGGGTAGCACCCCACCTGCCCCAACGCCATCCCGGACACGTGGCACCCGTAGGCACTGGCTGGTCTACACGGACCTGCTGAAAGAGCACGTAGTGGCCCTGCAGGATCTCAACAGGACTCTTCAGCAAAGGACTGAGGCAGAGGCCGAGTGGCGCAACAGGCTGCTGGATGAGCCGGTCCAGCACCGCATTTCAATCTGTGCCACTATGCGGGAGGTCCTAGCCTTGCCTGCCCCTGGCACTGGCGCTGCTCCTCCTGTGCACCAGGACCCTGCCCCACCTTCTCCCCTAACCCCTCCTGGTCCTGTGCCCTCACAGGCCCAGTAGCTGCCCTCCTCCCCACCTGCCTAGGCCAGGACTGGTCCTCACTCCACCCGACACCAAGGCCATGGCGGTGCCTAGACGCAAGGTAGCAGGACCCTGTGGTCAGGGAAGCAGCAGCCTACTTGAGTCCCCCTCCCCCCTCGCCGAAGCCCGCACTGAAGCCGGGGATCAGCCGGTTGGCCATTCACCCGAGAAGCGGCAGCCAGCAAGGCAGCATGGGCTCGGCCGGCGGCCTTTGTGCCCCCCCCTCCGGCGG